GTCTTCCCTTTTTTTTTTTTTTTTTTTTTTTTTTTTTTTTGTCTTTTGTCTTTTTCCGTGTCCGGCAACGGATTGCAACCCTCAGTGTTGCCCCCGTACCGGACCGGGGACCGGCAACGGGATTGCAACTCTCAGTGTTGCTCCCGCGCCTCGCTCAGCCAGTGAGCGGGAACCGGTCTGTATGTGGGATCCGAACCCTCGGGTGGGAGTACTGCCGCGCTTCCCAAGTGGCGCACTGGAAGTGCGCCACCGGGCCGGCCCTGACTTCACTTTCAACTAGTACTATTCCATTTTTACTTTTGACTTTATGAACTGAGACTTGCATATATTTTACCAAATAAAAAAAGTCCAACTGATTGTCCTATGATATCTCAGTGAAAAAGTGATCAAATATAGCCAGGTTTTAAAAAGTTAATGAAATCAAACACTACAAAGGGTACACGGAAACAAACCCTATATAGCCTTAATTGTGAATGTAAATGTCTCCTCAGTGTGCTATTCAAATGAATAGATTACTTTGAAAGAAATCTATTCTGGTAAAACAAAGGTAAGGTAACTAAATCCCTATGAACAAGTAGAAATTTCATTTATGTAGATTAATAAGCTTATGACAAGTTCATATTCAAGAGTTATTCAGTCATTCCTTTTCTCCTTCCTAGGACAAATAAATTTATTTTATTCATTCACTGTTAAAAATTACACTTTGTAATTTCTTAACTATATAAATTATCATGGAATAAGAAATTGGGCCTAGATGTTGCTGATGAACTTAAATCTGTTCAAATAAAGACTTTGCAGCGTTCTTTCTAATCATGTTTCTTTTTAAGAAACAATTATATATCACATGTTCGATTGAAAAAGTAGCCAATTTACTAAAAGTTAGATGACATAAAACCCTAAGCAAACAATGAAAACATCCTCACAAAGAAAGGTCCATTTAAAGAATAGAGCTTAGGACAAAAACACCATTTGTTCTTGGGTAACTAAGTTGCACCAAACAATTAGAAGTGAAGCCACCTCTTCAACAGACTGAGGCTTTTTTCCTTTTCTTCTAAAGAACAACCCACTTGTATCAGAATAAAACCCTTTAGACAATACTTGATCGTCTTACATCAAAGGCCTTTCATTTTCCTCAGTCATTTCTTTTAATTAGAGCTAATAAAGACATGGGTTTTCGAGCTGACTGAGGTTTGTAGCAAATCCCCAGAAAACATATTGGAGAAATTAATCAACTTGATGTTCTCTTCTCTCTAGAATCAGCCCACCCCTCTGCTCCATACCTGACAGGTGCACCTCTGCTGTGTGCAGGTTTCAGCATGACTGTCACTGTGTTGTCAGTTTGATTCAAAGGTGTCTCAAGTTCATAAGCTGGCATAGAGGGTGCTGGGGGAAAAGGTGTAAGATAGGAGACTCATTATTCCTGGTTTATTGTCTCAGTTTACTTTCTACTTTCTTTTACAAAGAACATTAAGAACACAGTGCACTTACTTTAAATTGCCGCTAACAACTGACCTTGAACAAGCTTTATGTATATTTCCTACACAGAATAACAGGGACAGATGCTAAAACTGGTATATATTAGCATTTTTGATCTTGAGGTGAAGTCGGGCAAGGGTATGAGAGAGACTTTTGAGGTTTTAGTGATAATCTGTTTCTTGAATTGGATTCTGGCTAAATGGGTATAATCAGCTTATGAAAATTAATTGAGCTGTACATTTATAATTTGTGTACTTTTCTATACATAGGATATCTTCATTAAATGTTTACATTAAAAGCATAGTTAAGAAATAATCACTAGGATCACTGAAATTTACAGTTCTTCCATCTAAGTTAAGGTTCTCATGGACAAAAGATCCACCCGGGAATTTAAAGGGGATAGTGGGAGTCAGAGAGACTTGTTGGAATTAATTAGTGACAACTTGTGGACTCTCAGGGAAAGAATGATAGCGGAAAACACATGGGAACTGAAGTAAGAAAGGCTTGGGCTTGGCTTTGTGTTGTGCCATGGGCTTCAGAGCTTAGGAACACTGATTATCTCTGAAGCTTCAGTTTACACATCTTTTATAATAGGGGAAACTGCCCTCTAAGATTTTCATGTTTTCATGGCAATTCAAAGAGATAATAGAGCGAAAGGGAGCCAGGCAAATATAATTCTACAAATATTAGTCTCCTTCCAACGTGAATCCTATTTCCAAGGCCATTTCCTGGCACTGTTCCTTCTCTAGATTGTTGTCTTATACAAGATAACAACAGAGCTCTTTAGTAATCACGCCACCACCACAGACAAGTGAAAGCATTACGTGGAGCTGGGATGTGGAAGGGCACAGTCTTTCTGCAAACCACATGCAGAGGTATCTCATGAGAAAGCCAGAGACTGCTCCTTGCAAACGTAGTTTTTAAAACTGTCTTACATATAAAAAAGATTTTATGTAACTCACATGGGTTATTTCTCAGTTCCATTTATCAAATTTTCTCAGCATTAAAAATTAACTCCGATTCCATTAAAAATTAACTCCAATTCATAACAGAGAATTACATTTTATATACGCGAATAGTTCCCTGTCTCAGGTCCGAGAAAATAGAAAATAGGGCCTATAAACTGTAACTTTTTAAAAACTATAAAAATCAAATAGTTCTTGATGAGCCTGCAAAGGCTAACTAAAATGTCAGTTTCTTTGCTTTATATGAACTTTGTGTGCTAAAAGTGGTCAGACTCACATTGACTGGAATTTTTATCTAATAAAAATAGCAAAAGTGAATATTTTTCCTAAAAGAATACGCTCTTTAAGATAATCTTTGAAATATGATTTCCACAGGGGAGAATTTTTTAAAAATTCTTGGAATATATTGATACATATTTCCCCTTTAAATCCCCATGATACATTCATGTACTAGATAATATCATCTAAATTTATATGTAGGGATAAACTCACTTGATCAAGATCAGAGAAAAAGTACATGGAAGAATCATAACTAGAACCCAAATTTTCTGATTCCAAGTCCAGTGGTTTTTCCACTTTTGCAACTTAACAACCGAAGTTATTTTTTTAACATCTAATTTTTCTAACCTCTTAAGGACTTCTTCCTCTTTTCCAACTCTCCATATTGTTCCTGTAACCTAATGTTTTGCATTAAATATCAAATGTTTATAAATTTCAAGTCAAGTATTGGTTCATAAGTAAAATCTTACACAACAAAAAAATACCCCTTAAGCTATAATTGTTTAAAAATAGAATTCCAAACCTCCTTCCCTCAAAACCTAGCAGAAAACTTTTAATACTCTAGTGGTGAATAGTCTTTCTTCAATTCCAAACAAAAGTTTTTACAAATCTAAAAAGGAGGGACTCTAGATGTAAGTATTATTGATCAAACCCTGGCTGATAAAAAGAATGGCCTCCCTCCCCCACCTGCATCACATCTATCCCCAACCCAAACAGTCAAAGCCGAAACTCAAATACTTCCCCACTAAGACCCAAAGGGGGAAAAAGATGGAAAAACAAAATGTCCGTGGAATTTTGTTTGTTGCTATTACACATGCCATACCAGATGGCAACTTCATTTCCTCTAGTCTGAAGTGCAAAGACATTTTCCGAACAGCTGAACATGCCCAGAAATATTTCTCAAATTATATCTTTTGTTGGATGATGTAATTGAGTCTCTAAAAGCGAAAAGCTAGAGGCCCTGAGTGCCTGGAGCCATGCTGTACGTCACCCAGAAATATTTCTCAAATTATATCTTTTGTTGGAGTTTCTCAAATTATAACTTTTGTTAGAGACTCAATCTTTAATTGAGTCTCTAAAAGCGAAAAGCTAGAGGCCCTGAGTGCCTGGAGCCATGCTGTACGTCACCTCTTTCTTCAGGACATGAGACTACTCATGGGGAAGCTCCCAAGGAAGGCTGATCTTTTGCAAGTGGACGCCATATGATGCTGCCTTTCTGCTGAGCTCTCAGCCACTCAAGGCTCATTACAGAGATTTTTCCAACGCTGCCGCTCTGGTAACTTGGGATTGCAAAGGACACGGGAAGTGCCTTAACAAAACTTCTGTCTCATGTCCAAGTCCTGCAGGGCAAATTGCTAACAGAGTGGCCACTTCCTAACACCAGAGGATCTTAAACTCCCAAATGATAAATATTTGTAGTATTTCATTTAATTCCATGAGTATGATTTTTAGGCATCCAGAGGAATTAACTTGAATTAAAATGTGTTAGTTTGGGTGAGTTTTGTGTACTTGACAATGGCAATGAAAAAGTACCAAAATGCTACTTCTGATCAAAGATGTAACTCATACGTGTATAATACCTGATATTTTGGTGGTGAACTGGTTTGTTGCTGGAGGCCCAAAACCCTTAGCTGTGCTCGCTCGGATGGTAAAGGAGTACGTGGTCCCTGGATACAGTCCGAAAAACAGAAAATGGGTTTCATTTCCTAGTTTTGAAACTCTTCCACTTTGATTGGACAAATCTATTTCTGGGTCAAAGGAACTGACTGCTTTGTAGGTGATCTGCAAAAGAAAGAGAATGTGATAAAATACCTGGAGCAGATGGGCCCAGATTGCATCATTATCCAGTAAACCCTTCTGATGTACGCACTGTCAGACACTGTATGATAAGCTCCCCTACCCACTTAGACTCTTCGAATCCTGAATCCAGGGAAGGGGAGCAGGAGCTCAGCCAAAACTGTTATGAGTTATTGCTTACACAGACAGGAGAACTTAAAGCCAGTCGATGAGAACATAAAGGATGAGTTCAGGTTTAAGCTAATACCATGAAGTTGTTTGCGTTCAAAATGTCATTTTGTAAAACACATGATAGCTGGTTTAGAACTAAATCCAGTCGATGAGAACATAAAGGATGAGTTCAGGTTTAAGCTAATACCACGAAGTTGTTTGCGTTCAAAATGTCATTTTGTAAAACACATGATAGCTGGTTTAGAACTAAATAACGAAATACACAACTAGCTCAAACAGACAAGGCACTGGCAGGGGGAAGGCCTCATCTCTTATCTAGTGGCCATAATTTGATTTAGCACTGAATAGGATTATTGTCTACTGGGAACAAGGACACTTTTAAGTGTTTTCATCATGTGGGCAAAGATGTCTGCTCCAAAAATAAATCGTAGACACATCACATGCTAGTAGTTCCTGATGCTATGAATGGAGGGTCATCATGGGTCATATTTATTTCTTTTCTTTAGAGAAGGGCTGTCCAACAGAACTTTCTGTCATGATGGAAATGTTCTATTCTGCACTGTTCAATAGAGTAGCAACCAGCCACGTGTGGCTACTGAGCACTTGAAATGCAACTAATGAGACTGAGGAACTGAAAATTTTATTTTATTTAATTTCAATTAACTAAAATTTAAATTTAAATTGCCATGCATGACTAGCCGCGGCCATATCGAACAGTGCAGCTCTAGAAGTTTTCATGATATTTGCTACATAACAGATATTCAAAGCATGTTGGATGAGTGTAGAATGTTTGAAAATAAATATAACATAGGTTCCTTTAAAATTTGCCCTTTCAAATGATTTTTTAAAGAATTTCCTTATGAGTAGTTCATCAACTGTTCAAGAACATGCACTTTAATGGTGATTACTAACTTCTACTGGTTATAATGACATAATTTTTAAATGTGGCACATTCAAAAGTTTTAAATTGCAAAACTGAGCACTTTTCTTGCTTTTAAATAGGTAAACTTACTTATAATTTATATGCATGAACACTAACACTGTTATTATACGAAGTGATAATTGACATTCTTTCTTCTTATAGTTATACCATGTCATTACAATTAAGACGACCTCTCTGAAAGATTAGATTGAATCAACTATGATTTGGCAAGAAAATGTTTGCTACATATATTAGTCACTGCAGTGCATGACACCAGCAGTGACAGGCAGAATATCCGTTGTTAACCCTCAACACTCCTCCCTCACCGAACACTGCAAATGAAACGCGTCTGGGGAGACGAATGGGTGCTTATGTGCTCACTGGGTCCTCCATTCTGATACTCCCAGAAAAAAGGGTAGTTCAGGTGGGGCAGATATAACCTGGGACAGAATAAATGCTTTCCAAAGTCTCCATTCACACATTCAAAACATACTCACTGAGTGCATCTAATGTGCCAAGCACTGTGATCGGAGCTGGGGTTTCACATAGTGACTCAGGAGCTGCACCAGCCCAAAGGAGGTAGCAGTGTGGTGGGGTGAAGAGAGGAGCAATCCGACAAGTGTGACACCGTGTAAGTACCGTGGGGACCAGCACTGCCCACCAGGGCTGGGTTAGTCCTCTTCGTTTGACTGCCTGGCTAAAAGCGTTACTGGCACACAAATGCATATGGCACAGGGCCCAGACTCCTTAGTTGTGTGTTTCAGATATGCTTTCACCTTCTTCTCCACACTCACTTCTAAATATGAACACCATGACATCACCTTCTGTCTGGTTAGGGGATAAGGATTTACTATCCACAAATGCTTACGAGGCTTTTCTTTTCTGTCTTTTTTTTCCTTTTCTTTTTTGTGGCTGGCCGGTTTGGGGAACTGAGCCCTGATCTTCGTGTTGTAAGGCTGCGCTCTAACCAGCTGAGCTAACAGCCAGCCCATAGGAGGTTCTTCTGACACTGCTGTTGCTCATAAACTTTTACCTGTCCAGACATGATAGTTACCTCTGTCCCATTCTCTCTCAATTCAAATACTGACCACGAGCACTGTGGCCAGCAGGGGGACACAGGCCCTGCCCTCAGGTCGCTAAGCACCTGAACGAGGGGTGAGGGGGTGGGGGGTGTATGTAGCTGGGGAGACATACCATAAGTACATTAATAATTTTAAAGCACTACATTCCA